TCATGTGACCACAGGGAGGTTCTGGTCTGGTTCTGGTTTCAGGTAAATCCTGCCTCATTCTGAGCTGAACTCTAAATGAAACTTTATTTTCCTCCATAAAATCAGCCATGTTTTCCTGCCCTGCTGTTAACCCTCAATGTGCTGCAGAACCGACCCGACCCGGTTCCGTCTGACCCGGTTCTGTCTCTCCAGGTGGTACTTTGCTCTGATCGCCGTGTCGGGGACGTTCGCCGTGACGTTCTCCGTGATCTTCGCCTACGTCGCCGACGTCACCGAGGAGCACGAGAGGAGCACCGCCTACGGCCTGGTAACGACCAATCAGAACGCTGCAGGCTGCTGACATCACAGCAGCTGTAGATCAGAAACCGCCTCATCATCATCATCATCATCATCATCATCATTATCCAGGTCCATCAGTAACGTTTCTGTCAGGATGAATTAAACAGAACCAGCTGAACTGATCGGATCGTCTTCAGAACCAGCTGGTAGTTTGTAGAAACGCTGAATCCTGATTGGACGGATGACTCTAAAGGAAACCACAGTGGTTAGCTATGCTAACCAAAATGCTAACTGCGCTAGTCCTCAGTCACTGATCATAAACATCAGTTCCACTGGCGCTAAAGCGCTACGCTAACATGATATTCAGCAGAAGCTAAATGAGAAATCATCCCACCGGTTCCACCATCTTTTATTATTCTGATCGGGTCCGAGTCGGTCTGCAGCTTCATCGGATCGTTCCTCAGTGTCCCGGTTTTCCGGACCTGGTTCGGCCCGGATCAGAGCTGGTTCTGTAGAACCCGGCTCACCTGACCTCCTCCTCCCAGGTGTCGGCGACCTTCGCCGCCAGCCTGGTGACGAGCCCGGCCATCGGCGCCTACCTGTCCAGTCGCTATGGAGACAGCCTGGTGGTGCTGGTCGCCACGGTGATCGCGGTGACGGACATCGCCTTCGTGTTCTTCGTGGTTCCCGAGTCGCTGCCGGACAAGATGAGGCTGTCGTCGTTGGGGTTCCCCATCTCCTGGGAGCAGGCCGACCCGTTCGCTGTGAGTCAGTCGGACCCGGCAGCAGAACCGAAACCAGAACCAGCAGCTGAACCTCTGATTGGTTGTTTGTTTCAGTCGCTGCGGCGAGTCGGGAAGGATTCCACGGTTCTGCTGATCTGCATCACCGTCTTCCTGTCCTACCTGCCTGAAGCCGGACAGTACTCCAGCTTCTTCCTCTACCTGAAGCAGGTAGAGACACACACACACACACACACACGGCTCCTCCGTCATGCTGGACCGTCGGACTGATTGATTTTTCCTCTCGTCTCCTCCAGGTGATCCATTTCTCCCCTGAAGCCATCGCTGCCTTCATCGCCATGGTGGGAATCCTCTCCATCGTTGCTCAGGTTCGCTGGCTAAATTGGCTAAAGCTAATTTTATCTCCTTTCTCCCAGCGCTAACTAGAAACAACCAATCACAGCAAGGGGCGGGTCTTAGTGCTGTCGGCTCTCTGCTGAGCTGCAGCATAATAGCATAGCCAGTTGTGAGTGCTAATGCTAGCTAGCATAGCCAGTTGTGAATGCTAATGCTATAAAAGGAAAATGTAACATAAGTGAACTTAGTTGGTTTGGCAGAACCAAAATTCCTCTTTAATATTTAATGCAACAAAGGTAAACAAACCTGAATATAACAGCGTGACCCCTGCAGCAAACGGAGACCATGCTCATTCTCCGGCTGCGTTAGCGTAGCATCCGCTAGCACCGAGTCACCATGACAATGAAAACAAACATGGAGCAGCGAGTTCAGACTTCCTGTTTTATTCAGATTAAATAAATTTATTTCTAAATGAAGAATCAGAGAGAAAACTGTAAAAACAAAGAACTATTGTTCAAAAGAATCAGCATAAAGAACTATTGTTCAAAAGAATCAGCATAAAGAACTGTTCCTCCAGGTGTCTGCAGCAGCCGTCTCTGTGACCTCTGACCCCTGACCTGTCCCCTCAGACCGTCCTGCTCAGCGTTCTGATGCGAACCATCGGGAAGAAGAACACGGTTCTGTTGGGTCTGGGCTTCCAGCTGCTGCAGCTGGGCTGGTACGCCTTCGGGTCCGAGCCGTGGTGAGTCTCTGGATCCGTTCCCGGTCCTGGTCCTGGTCCTGGTTCTGGTTCTGACGGGTCGGTTCTGTCCCTGCAGGATGATGTGGGCAGCAGGAACCGTTGCTGCCTTGTCCTCCATCACCTTCCCAGCAGTCTCTGCTCTCGTGTCGCACAACGCCGCCGCCGACCAGCAGGGTGAGCCAATCAGGAGCAGCTTCACGTTAGAGCAGCCAATCAGGAGCAGCTTCATGTTACAGCAGCCAATCAGCAGCAGCTTCATGTTACAGCAGCCAAACAGCAGCAGCTTCATGTTAGAGCAGCCAATCAGGAGCAGCTTCACGTTAGAGCAGCCAATCAGGAGCAGCCTAACTCTCTGTGTGTGTGTGTGTGTGTGTGTAGGCGTGGTCCAGGGGATGATCACAGGGATCCGGGGCCTCTGTAACGGTTTGGGTCCGGCTCTCTACGGATTCATCTTCTTCCTGTTCAACGTGGAGCTGAGCGACGTTCCAGCAGCCGCAGGAACGCCGAACACACAGGTACCGCCCATCTGGACACGCCCACCTGGACACGCCCACCTTCAGAACAACACATTGAGAGCAGAAATGAAACCAAGACATTACAACAGATGGAAACATTTTTCATTCAAGATGGAAACTGAATCTGTTCTTCCATCTGCTGGTATTTTTATCTTCACCTGATTCCTGTCGGCTAAATTATTTTCTTATTTAACAGGAAGTGAGGTATCACTGTTTGTTTTTTTCTGTATCTCTATAAAACCTGTAGTGCCGCGGCAGCCATCTTTACTGAGGGCTGCTGGGTAACGGCTCCGTTCTTCTTCTTTGGTTTCATTAGAGGAACAAAAACATCAGATTATGATAGAAACATTTAACTGAGCATCCAGACCTGCTGCACAACCGACCAGAACCTGACCGGTTCTGATCGGGTCAGCCACTGTAAAGAGCTAAAGATCAGGTTCTGTGACTCAGAGGTCAAAGGTCACCGTTTCCTCCTGTCTCCGCAGCGCGCCGTCATCCCGGGCCCTCCCTTCCTGTTCGGGGCGTGCACCGTCATCCTCGCCGTGGTCGTCGCCGTTTTCATCCCGGAGAATCTCCGCCCCGCCGGCGGTCCGGCCGCCGCGAAGCCCGCACACGCTCAGAACGGCGCCGCGGCGCAGGCCACGCCCACCAGCGACGCCGAGGACATCGAGCCGCTCCTGCAGGACAGCAGCATGTGAGCGGCGGCGGCGGCCAATCACTGACGGCGTTCATAAGCTCCTCTCTCCTGATTGGCTGAGACCAAAGGGCTGGGGGGAACAGCGCCCCCTCTGGACTCTACCAGCAGGTAAACTGACTCACCTGTTGGAGTTTCTCTGCTTCATTATGCACCTGCTGGCTCCGCCCCCCCTGGTTACCATGACGACGGCCGGAGGAAGTTCCCGGATCCCCCGCCTCCACTCCGTTACCATGGTGACGTCTAGGGGACGCTGTGTCATGGCAACAGGTTCTGGACTCATGGTGTCGGGTCAGACCTCAGAGCCCTGCTTGGTTCTGGAGGTTCTGCTTGACCTTTGACCCGTCAGAACCAGAGCACATGTTCCGGTTGGGATCCGTGTTTCTGGTTCCGGAACGTTTTTACCAAACATCTGGACTGTTTTCTGGAGTCTGGGCCGGTCCGGTTTGCTTCCTGGTTCCTTCTGCAGCGTCACAGCAGGTCCAGTTTAACAGAACCGGGCAGTCCGGTCTGGCTGACCCGGTTCCTGTAGCTCCAGAACCTCCAGCTGTGGTCCAGATGCCTCTGCTGCGCTTTAGTGCCTCTAACCGACCCGGTTTCTACCAGCCGGGTTTTTTCAGAACTTTGTGACGATCTTAATAAAGATGTTTGAACCGAGCCTCCGGGTTTCACTCTGCATGTTTCCATCGCATTTCCAGGTTCGGATCAGAACCAAAAACTTAAATGATAAAATATGTATTTAATTTATGGAAATGTTTAAGGTAAGAAAATGAAATGTAAAAAGTTTATAGTTTATTAGCCCCGCCCCCTGAGTGGGAAGTGGGCGGAGCCACGAGGCTCTGAGGGGCGGGGCTAGTGTGAGGAGGGGAGGGGCTAAAGGGCAGTGGTCCACCCTGTAGCCTTTTCTAACAACAAATCCACTTTTATTTTGAAGAGATTAAAAATTTGACTAAATTGTGTAATTTTTCTGCCGTTGAGGTGAGACGGTTCTGTAGTTCAAAGTCACACGTTGAATTTTCATCACCAGATTTTATTAATCATAAAAACTACAAACTGAAACTGCAGGAAGTCCAGAAGGCTGAGAAAAACAAAAACACGGAAACATTTCCTGGAATCTAAAATCACGTCGGAATAAAATCAGAACTTCTGGAAAAAACTAAACATTTTATATCATAAAAACTAAAATCATGTTACAACATTTAAATCTATAAAATATTTCTGTAATTCTGATTTTTATGTTTGGTCACAACTTCAAACTCAGATTTAAACTCTTCAAAGCAAAAACACACAAACCACAAAGGTCAACCTGGAGACAAAACTAATGTTTTTGTTTTCTACATTTTTAAAACTTTCAGGAACAAAAAATTAATTTGAAATGGAAATGATTCCAGAGGAATATTTAGAATTCATTTTCTGTAAACTTTATATAATTATTTCATCTGTATTTAAATTAAAATCCAAAACTAATTTAAAATTCTGACTGCAGAAATGATTTATTTGGAAATATTAAAATATTGCACATGAGAAAATTCAATTTAAATCCTTATTGATTCTGTGGAAATTATGTTAAATTTTACACTTTAATCTGATTAGTTAGTTTTAAAACCAGACCAAAAAAATTAACTGAGGTTAAAGTAACATTTTGTTCTCATTATTCATTTTTATGATTTTATTCTTATTTTCCTGTTAAAACTTGGAAACGTTTAAAAATCTGGAATTTAAACTGAAATAAAACCAACATGAAAAACCAGAACCAACAAAACCGACGATGTTCAGAACCTCCAGAACCAGGATCTGGACCCGCGTCCAGCAGCTGTTCTGACCCAACTGGACTCTGCAGAACAGGTCCGGTTCTGGTTCCGGTCCGTCACAGCAGGCAGGAGATGGAGACCTTGGTGGTGGAGAAGGGAACGGTGTCTGGTTTGGGACAAACAGAGTTAGCGATTAGCAGCGTTAGCGGTTAGCGGCGTTAGTGGTTAGCAGCGTTAGCGGTTAGCAGCGCTAGCGCTGCAGGCGACCTTGGACTGACCTCTGTCCTTCAGCGTGCTGATGTACGCCTCCATGAACTCCTTCTCACTGCCGTCCTTCACCTCCTGCTCCCTCCACCTCCTCCTCTCCTTCTTCTTCTTCTCCTCTTCCTCCTTCTTCCTCCTCCTCTTCTCGGGGTTGTCATAGAGACGGATGAACCTGCGGCGGGACACAGACGCGGTCGGTCCGACGGTTCACGGCTTCGCCGACCTGCTGGGATCTTACTTGATCTCCGGGTCGTTGCAGAGTCGGGTCGGGACGCTGGTCAACCCGTCGCCGCTGGCAACCACCATCCTCAGACTGGAGATGTTGGCGAGACAAACGGGGAGGTAAGACAGGCTGTTCTGATGGACGAAGAGGGTGGAGAGCTGCTGCAGCCTGGG